TTTGCCCAATGCTTACCCTCAAATAAACGCAGCAGCTTTAAGAGCATGGAGAAAGCTGCCCAATTCTGAGAATAAAACTGAAGATTTGTCCAAAATTCGGCAAGGGCCTGACGAGCCATACCAAGACTTTGTTGCTCGTCTTATGGAAACTATTGGTAAAGTGATAGGAGACGAGCAAGCAGGATTGGTTTTGGCTAAGCAATTAGCTTATGAGAATGCTAACTCTGCTTGTCAGGCCGCTCTAAGACCATACCGAAAAAAGAGTAATTTAGCTGATTTTATACGAATCTGTGCTGACATAGGACCATCCTATGTCCAAGGAATTGCTTTAGCTGCAGCTTTACAAGGAAAAACAGTTAAAGAGGTTTTGTTCCAACAAAACCGCCCAAAGAGAAATTATCAAGGAACTTCCAGGGTAGCTGGCCCTCCTGGTAGTTGCTATGCATGTGGGCAACTAGGGCATCGAGCAAATCAATGTCCCAAAAGAGGGCAACAACCGCCTGGTCGAGAGATATTAGTAACCAGTCCTGGTCTATGTCCAAAATGTAAAAAAGGAAAACACTGGGCTAAAGATTGCAGATCTAAGACTGATATAAATGGACAACTTCTGAACCAGGGAAACTGGGTGAGGGGCCAGCCCCAGGCCCCAAAACAATGCTACGGGGCAATTCAGGAGACCTCTCAGGTCAGCCACAATCCGTTTCTTCCCGACCAAGTATTTCAGACCTCTATAGAGCAACCCCAGGGAGTGCAGGACTGGACCTCTGTGCCACCACCTACACAGTATTAACCCCAGAAATGGGAATGCAAGCCCTTCCTACTGGAATTTTTGGGCCTTTGCCTCCCGGCAGTGTAGGATTATTATTAGGGCGTAGCAGTACAACTATGAAAGGGCTACTTGTTGCTCCAGGAGTAATCGACTCTGATTTTGAAGGAGAGATCAAGGTAATGGCTCACTCTCCTCGAATGATAACGGCCATTCCTGCAGGCCAACGTATTGCTCAATTAATCTTGTTACCTACTCTTACTGTTGGAAAGAACAAGTCTAATTTTAAGAGAGGCACTGCAGGCTTTGGTTCCTCTGATGCTTATTGGGTTCAACAGATAAGCAATCAGAGACCTGAGTTAACCTTAGAGATTCAAGGCAAAAAATTTAAAGGCATTCTAGATACTGGAGCAGATATTTCTGTAATTGCTGCTTCCCACTGGCCTGAACACTGGCCAAAGCAAGTTGCTCTCTCTATGTTACAAGGAATTGGTCAGTCTCATAATCCAGAACAAAGTTCCGCTTTTCTTTCCTGGAAAGATGAGGAAGGACATTCTGGGATATTTCAGCCATATATCCTTCCAAATTTACCTGTTAATCTATGGGGAAGAGATATCATGTCAAATATGGGAGTATTTTTGTATAGTCCTAATCCTACGATTTCTCACCAATTGATGTCACAAGGACTATACCCAAATCAAGGTTTAGGAAAGCATAACCAAGGAATTATTCAACCCCTACAGGTTATAGGAAAAAGAGATAGAAAAGGTTTAGGGCATTTTTAATGGGGGCCTTTGATCATCCTGCAGCTCATGCAGACCCTATCGTATGGAAATCCGATCAGCCTGTGTGGGTTCCTCAATGGCCCCTTTCTCAAGAAAAAATTGCCGCTGCTAAACAATTGGTGCAGGAACAATTGGACAGTGGGCATATTGCTCCTTCTAATTCGCCTTGGAATTCTCCTATATTTATTATAAAAAAGAAATCTGGTAAATGGAGATTGTTGCAAGATTTACGTAAAGTAAATGAAACTTTGGAATTGATGGGTCCTTTACAACCTGGTTTGCCTACTCCTATGGCGATTCCTGAAGGAACTTATAAGATTATTATTGATTTAAAAGATTGTTTTTATACTATTCCTCTATATCCTGATGATTGCAAGAGATTTGCATTTAGTGTTCCTTCTACAAATTTCAAGGAACCTATGCAACGTTATCACTGGCTGGTTTTGCCTCAGGGTATGGCAAACAGCCCCACCTTATGTCAAAAGTTTGTTGCTAGAGCGTTACAGCCTATTCGTCTGAAATACCCAGACGTTTATTTGATTCATTATATGGATGATATTTTAATTGCTCACTCTCAAGAAGGTTATTTACTAACTGTATTTGATCAAATGTTGATTTCTTTAAAAACTTTTGGCCTTCAAATTGCTGATGAAAAGGTTCAGCGATATTGTCCATATGCATATTTGGGATTCCGTTTACATAATTTTACTTTTCAAACACAAAAGATTCAGCTACGTACAGATTCCCTCTTAACTTTAAATGATTTTCAGAAGTTTTTGGGCGATATTAATTGGATTCGTCCCTATTTAAAACTTTCAACTGGAACTTTAAAGCCTTTGTTTGACATTCTTAAAGGAGATACTAATCCTCGTTCTCCTAGAAAACTAACCGCTGAAGCTTCTTTGGCTTTACGAG